TATGAGGATGTGGGCATGGCTTGAATGTGTATGGGAGATCTCAAAGATGTTACCTTGAGCTTCTGGTAGAAAGGATGGTATAAAAATATATAAGTTCCTATCCCAGGGGTTCCCATCCTTTTTGACTCTGACAGAGGTTGATGAGTGCAACCACTAAATGGCTGTCACAGGGAGGTGGATGGAACCAACCACAAAATGTACCAGAGTGAGGTTATGCATAACACTTATAGAAGCTCTTCAGCATTTAAGATAGAAGCTTTGTTTAGCCAGATCAATATATTGCTTAAACCTATTATCTTTCATACACACAAAATAGAGATGCATACTGAGCTAGCTAAGAAACCCTCCTCTGGCAGTATGAGTCTTCATTTTGTAGGCATCTAACACACTTATACAAAAGGAAAAGGGGGGAGGAGCTTTTCATGGCTTCCTCTCTGCTTTTTGATGACCCCTTCCCTCATGATCCCAGACCTTTTCAGCACTGCTTCTTTTAACAACAACAGTTGGTGCTGAAGGGCTGGTGAGAGCTGACTGCATATGTGATGTGTACAGTAAGAGAGTGATTCTGGCAAGATTTTGATAGGAGCATAAATTACTTTTGAAAAATGACCAAAATTTGCCAAAGTGATATTATCAACTTCCACCTGAATTAGAAAAAACATATTCAAATTGGAAAGATCTGATGACTTCAGTAGAAGTCCCAGTTAGGGTGCATCAAGCATTTAAGCCATGCTGACCTATTGTATTAAGTCAGAAGGAAGTCCCAGTGCATTTTTAGGATATCCCACTGCTACTTCCGCAGGTAAAATACTTTACATAAAGTCACTCTCAGCATTTTATCATAAACATCGAAAACTGTCCACAGCTCTGCCCATGACCTTTAGATATCATCTAGGCACTGGAGTCTTTTGGAGCGATTTGGAGCCAGTTTGGTGTAGTGGTTAAGTGTGCAGACTCTAATCTGGGAGAACCAGGTTTGAGTCCCCACTCCTCCACTTGCACCTGCTGATGTGACCTTGGGTCAGTCGCAAGCTCTCGCACAGCTGTCCTTGAAAAAGAGCAGTTTGTGTCAGAGTTCTCTCAGCCCCACCCACCTCACAGGGTGTCTGTTGTGGGGAGGGGAAGGGAATGGAGTTTGTAAGCCACTCTGAGACTCCAAGTGAAGGGCGGGGTATAAATCCAATCTCCTCCTCCTCCTCCTCCTCCTCCATAAGGCATGGGATCTGATTTTTTACCTGCTATTGTTATTTATTGTTTTACTGCTTTTATTCGTATTGTTCTTATGTTGTAAGCCGCCCTGAGCCCATTTTTTTGGGGTAGGGCAGGGTTTAAATTTAATAAATAAAATAAATTAAATTTAAAAAAAACACAAAAAGCCCCACTTGGACCAGCCTACTTTCTAAAAACACTTGGCAGGCACCAAGAAACATGTAAATGGCAGTCATGGTGCCCATGGGTGCCATGCTAGGGACCACTGTCCTATCCCATCAAATAACGCACCTTTGATGAATACAGAGAATTCTGCTTGCCCAGAACGAAAGGCCTGGTGGCAACACTGTGAAGTGTTAAAACAAACACCATCTATCGCTGGGGTCCCCAACTTTTTTGAGCCTGCGGGCACATTTGGAATTCTGACACGGCATGGTGGCCACAGCCACAAAATGGCTGCCCCAGGAGGAGGAGGAGCCAGCCACAAAATGATTGCCACAGCTTAACTTCTGTAACACAGTGTAGCTCCTTGCGCTGTGGTGGCAGCTGCCGCCAAAGTAACATAAAAAAATCACACCCAATCAAATCTCCAATAGTCAGTCAGAAGCCTTGCTGGGCAAAGGCCCTGGCTGACACACCCACTTCCTAAAACCACTTGGCAGGCGACAGGAAAGGTGTTGGTAGGCACCACGTTGGGTATTCCTGGTCTATTGAGTACATGTTGTATCCCTCCCTTCCACCAAGGAATTTAATGACGCATATGTGGTTCTCCCCCATTTTACCCTTACAACAACCCTGTGAGGTATATTAGGCTAAGAGTGTGTAACTGCCCCAGCGTCACCCAGTGAGCTTTCAAAGCAGCGTACGTATTTCAGCTCAGGTCTCCCAAATCCTAGTCCAACATGCTAACCGCTACACCAAACCTGCTCTCATGTAAAATGGATTTAATATATACTAGATGCATTACAAGCAAAAGAGCCCAATGTAGGATAGAGATGCCTGCAAAAGGAAGGCCTACAAGAGCAACGCACAGAGAGACAAAATCATAAATTCAGTCTCTGCTGTGTCTTGGAAGAAGCCATGGTAGTTTTTAGTACATCTCAGCTCCACAGAAACCCTGTCTTCTGGTGCTACAACAAACATATTTCATTTGACAGACATGCACAAATGTACACCAACAAAAACCAGGACCAAGTCCTCCCAGCGTAAGTAACAGACACTATATATGATAATGTCTCAATTTTTAAGAACATTCTTATGTGTTTTACAATTATACATGACAGCTTTGTTTTCTTACTATAAGAAAGACACAAGATGTGCTTATGCACTTGTCTTACCAACATTCTTTCAAATCGCTTGACTAGAAAACACTATGGCCAGGAAAGGGGGGGAGACCCCCACCACCATTATTAGCATGTGAAAGTAATAAGCGAATTTAATTCCCTTCCTATTTTTTAGCCTACATGGTTTCAAAGAGATCCTTCTCAGCACAGAAGCATAAATGTGTCTGCTCTGAAAGATTACTGCATTCATTCAAAAGGGCCAGGGAATGAGCTCTGTACAAACCAACAAAGCTTCTTATAGCCACACTTTCTGAAAACAGACTCCCACCTTAACCTAGGTTGTGTGACAAGACATTTCTGCATCTTGGGACAGGCAGTGTGGTATAGTGGTTAAGAGCAGTAGACTCTAATCTGGAGAACAGGGTTTGATTCCCCACTCCTCCACATGCAGCCAGCTGGGTGACCTTGGGTCAGTCACAGCTCTTTCAGCATAAAAAAAAGACTAGCTCGCAACCAAAAGAGCTAGAACTTAAAGTTGCCAGACAATCTTTGGATCTCCTGGCTATACTACACACAATGCCATATGGTAATCATTGTTGTTATGGAACTTGGTGGAATTTAAGAATTATATATATGTATATGATATAGCACAAGGTGCTGCCATTAAGAAAGAAGAAAACCAAGGAAATACCTAGAAGCCCTTACAAACACTGCTTCCCCACAGCCTGCCACAATAGCCAAGAAAAATCCACAATTCAGTCACAAGAAGCAGGGAGACATTATATCAATCCCAATATTAAGCCCAGAGTTTGCACAGAGAGGGAAAAGGTAACAAGATGAACACTAAAGACTCAGCCAGTGACGCACCATTTTTAAGGCTCTGTGAATTTACTTCAAGTGATATTCACAAAAAGTGGTTTAAATCTACACTGACCTATTATGTAACCACTAATGGATACAGTGATGGCCACTAGAAAGCGTGGCACAGCCAGGGGATAGGTCTATCAATGGCTACTAGCCATAATGATTGAAAGGAACCTGCATGTTCCACGGTATTAAACTTCTGAATACCAGTGCTAGGAAGCAACATCAAGGAAAGCCTCAGACACTACCCCCCACTTAATGGCCCTCCAAGGCACCTGGCTGACTATTGTGTGAAACAGGATATTGGACTAAATTGACCACTACACTGACCCAGTAGAACACCTCTTACATCATTAAGGGATATACATGCAAAATGTAGGAAGGTTAGGATGTATCATTCAACCACTACATGTTAATTTTGCGTATCATTTATTTATTTGATTTTTATCCCACTCCTTTCCCCAGCAAGCAGGACTCATTGCGGCTAATTTAATTTTGCACATCAAAACATGAACTGGCCAATACAGAAACATACAATTACTGAACATGACATGAAAAAACAAACAAATGGAACTTTAGCTTAAGCTTCTAATTGTTTATTTTCTCTAGAGGAACAGAGAAAGCACAGCAAAAATAGAAATACTATTTCCAATACCCTGCACCATTTAAATATTTTTTAACCAATCCAGTTGTTAAAAACTATCCTTTATGCATATACCCTTGATAACAACTTTGTGCTCAACACACTACTTTTGAGGGACATACACAGAAACAAATAAAAAGGAAAATATTTCACCCATCCAAGCACAAAGTATATCTTAGAAGACACGGCTTGCTGGGTAGAAATGGAGAACCAGAGAGCCTGCAGAATGATGGGAGTGAGAATTACATAAAATTTATGGAATGACACAATCAAAGTCAAGGGTCTGGCTTATACACTGGCTAGAGTCCCACTAAAATCCTTCTGTCCACAGAATGAGACTTCTCCATCTCTTCCCTCCAGATGTAGCCCCCCAAATGCAGCTCCTGTGGGGACAGCGGACCCCCCACAGAACAAGATGAGGGAAAGGGGAAAGCAAAAATCTCCCTCCTTTGAAGAAGGAGAAATTATTGGCAAGTTCCAACCTATCAACACTAGCAGCCATAATTGGATACAGGCTCACATGGTCAAATTTAATGGCAAATCACAGATGCTACAGCAGTCCACATCATAATCACAGGCATTCACATCATAATCACAGATTTACTTCAGACTATGAAAGGTACTGTTAATCCAAGACCACAGATTAAGCCATATCTCTACACACAAATCAGAACTGCTTATGTGGACCGAAACATGGAAGACCAGGTCAAAAGCATAATAGATGTTAGCAATTTTTAAAAAGGGGTGACAAGCAGTCAATGTTCCATATTACCTTGGAGATATCAGTAGCAAAGTTTATGTCTCAAGACCATATTCAAAGCTCCAAGAATTAAGCCAGCACAGAAGCATTCCTATAACAAGCACTATTGTTCCCATTCCCCCCTCTTTGGCCATTCCTACTGTTTAACACATGAAAAACTAGGATATCAGCAAAATAAACGGAGGTGGGGTGGGGTTGGGGTGCATTTCTTTGGACAGAAATAAATGGGAACGGCACTTACTTTTCTCTTTTAGGAGTGTGGACTGATAGCTGTCCATTGGTTGAGGCATGTGGGTTTATTATTAAGGGAGTCTTAGAAGATGCTGAGGAAGAGATACACGTCGTTGATAGATCCAAACTGCTGTGGTTGTTGCTTGCAGCCTCCTCTGCTGGGTGAGAACCTGTCACCTCTTTCCAGAGTTGCTGTAGTTCAGTTGGGATCATGCCTGAAAGAAGATTGGATCATTAAATAAATTTAACTACTAAGTTAGCCATCTTCTAGCAGCAACTCAAATCAAAGTCAGTAAACAACGCACAGCATCAGAAGTGACCAAACGCATACTAATGTACACACAATCTCTTCCACAGATATATACACGTACATAAACTGAAACATGACAATACTAATAATGCCCCATCAATTAACGTTATATAAAACAGGGGTCGTTTCGTAGAAAAAGAGCTAGGGGAACTCGTTAGCATAACTCATTAGCATATGCCACACCCCCTGACATCAGGGGCCCAGCGGTGGACCTGCAAGGCCGGCGGGAGTGTGAGGAAGCCCCGCCAAGGCCCTCCCTGGCCCCAGGCAGGCAGGGGTGGGGAGAGGCGGGGAGGAAGCAACTTACCCTCCCTCTTCTCCTGCCTCCTCCTGGCTGAATGAGGGCTGGAAGCGGGGCGGCCGGAAGCAGGGGGCGGGGCTTCATCGTGTGCCCCGCCCCCTGTACCTCACCCGGGGGAACTGTGATCCCCCGCGTTCCCCCCCGAAATGACCTCTGATATAAAATAATACTTTCCGGCAGCTTACGTACATAGTTATGTAAACACCCCCAATGTGCTTTAGTGCAGCTACACAGAATACTGACAATCACAGCTTTACTTTTTTTGGGGGGAAACAAGGTTCTAGTCCTCATGTCTGCAGACACAATGGCTTGAAGCCAGAAATGCACAAGCAGAAACGGCTTTGGAACAGTTGCAGGATCTTGTGGAACACCTAGTACTTCTCTCTCTATATATGATAGTGTCCAGAAACTGGTTGCACAAGTAGCAATGTAAGTGGGGATACAATAAATTTGACTTAAATTCTAAGAAGATACAAAGTCTAAAACGATACAACTTTTTGTGTCCTCAAAGGCTTGTTTATGATCAATACTATCTAGGCCTTAATATTTATTTTTATTATTTACTTCATGTTTTATGTTACACTATTTGGTATCCCAAATAGTGGTGGTGGTGGGGAGATACACTATGCTGAGGGGAAAAAGTTAACACAACCCATTTCATACAGATAGGGCCTTCAAAGGGGAAGTATCACTTGAGGTATTTCTTGCAAGATTCATATTATAAATTGGTTCCTAGCTGTAGTATGAGGACAGGTGAACCTAAATAAATGGCATTTCCTTTCCTGAAAGGAGGTGAATAAATTTTAACCTCTTTATAGAAGCAAAGGAGGTCTTAATAAATTTATTCATCTGTGTTATTATGACAACATGAACCACAATATGACTAATTTTGTGCTTAAGTTGTAAATGATGATAAATAGCTTTGTTATTAAATACAGTTTTTATTAATCACTTTTAGATGTAAATTATGAATTCATACTGTCTTCATGAAATGCTTTTAGAATTTTAACAGTCAAATTGATTATACTATGATTATTTCATTAACACACCTATCTTTCTCATTAATTTTGGTTTCTAGCACTGCTTGCTTAATTGATGGATGTGTCTAGTGAAAAAAACCTGCAAGTTTCTATACAAGTAACACTATTATTATTACTGTCATTTCTTGATCAGTGCTAATGAGCCATTCAAACTGAAATGAAAACATCAAATAATCTTTATTTTTTTAAACAAAATGTTGTTTAACACGATAAAAATGGATAGTCAAGTTTTAGGAAATTTTCAAGTTTTCAGCTCAGTTGACCACATTTCCAACCAGAAATTACAGTGTTAAAGGCAGCTCAAAATGGCTGATCACCGAGGCCACAAGCACATGGAGAAGTCTCCTGACACCTTAAAGACGAACCCATTTTTATTCTAGCATCAGTGATTGTGAACTACAGTCTAGTTCAGTTGCATATCATCATATCACTGAAGGCTAGCATGGATATTACAGCTACAAAGAAAAAAAATCAAGTAAATTGATGTCTTTTGGAGACCTGGAAATGCAGGGGCCAATGGATCCAACTGCGTTCCACCAAGCAGTTGCATTCCATTATCCCAGGAGAGAAGAATCAGCCATTTTCAAAATGTATACCCATGCCTGAGCCAGATATGTCTTACACCAAACCTTAAGGCATTAAAATAAAGGCAGTATGCATTATATTCATTTGAAACACATAATAAAAAATGCCAAGGTCTAAATTTAATTTATTTTTGTCATTTAGAATACAATGGGTAGATAATCATCTCAACGTGATCAGCCAAACATCTTTACTTTGCTAAACTGTTAAAGATTTTAATTATGCTAGCTTTGGAGAGCACTGGTCTAATGAGGCGATAGACTCCAGAGAATCTAAGTGGTTAAGAACTGTGAAATGAGTCTGATAGGATTTTTTTTATATTCACCGTGGATCGTTTGCATATCAAAGAGGAGTAAATTATTGCACGACAGACCAATAACCTTCCCCGCCTTTCTGAGAGTAGCATTAACAAAAACAGTTGGTCTTTGCTAGTAGGCTGACTAAAAAAAAATGCAAAAATGCTTTGTGTGTGTGCAATTAGTATATATTCTAAAAGAAGCTTCAATTTATACATTAAGTGATCAGATTGCCATATAATATATCTGTTTCCTGTAAAACTGTTTATTTCTCCTTTTATATGGAAAAAAAAATCAAAATGCCCATTATATTTTGATGGATTTCGCCCCATATGGGCATATAGTTATTAGATATATTCAATTATTACATGTCCCCTGAAATTAAACCTCTGAAGCAATTTAAACAAAGAGAAAGGTCACTACACAATCCGGTGTCCTGTTTAGCTGCAACCAAGCTATTATTTTCAAACACCTTGCAAAGTGACAGTGTGGGATGTATTTTTTGCTAACACTCTTGACAGGCCTGTCTCCACACTAACAATTACCTGTGAATATGACTGACCCTTTCACCACTGTTTACTCAGTTGAAACAATAGTGAATGGACTTGTCTGTTGATGATAACATATTGATACTAGATCACAAGTCAACACCATTTTTATTTTGGGGGACAAACCGACATGAACAGAAGACTTCTGGTATTATTATTTCTTATTAGCCATTATGAGCTCTTCAGATGGATTGCTGTACTTTTTTTTAAATGAGAGAATGATACACTATAGCCTGATTTTTTTAACTAATTTTGAAGATAAAAAGGATTTTAAATATTGCAGACAGCCTCTCAGTATATCAAGAACAAAGGATGAATTAACAAGTCACAACACCTACAGCAGGGTTGGTTTGAACTTCATACGGAAGAGCAATTGGCTGCTAACGTTAATGACAGCTGTCTCTGTACAACATAATGGGAACAAAGCCCACAATTTTGATATAAAAGCCGGACAAATTGTATTTAATAGCAGCTGGGGCAGAGCATAGGCATTAGGATTACAGGTCAGATGCAATTAGGCGACAGAATCCAATTATGAGGTCACAAGAACTTAAGTGACATACGTGTCTCAAAAATTATTTCTGTTATGCACATTTTAAGCAAGCAAGCTTGCTTATTAAAAAAAAAAAAAAAGTAAGCACCCCAAGACGGCTTTATCTGACAACGATGAAACCTGTGCAAGAAGTTAGTTACTGGTTAATATACTTGAAAAGTTTATGATGTGTGCTGATCCTTAACTAATGGCAGAGTTTCAGTGGTAGGGATAATCGTAAAATCATTCCCAATAACGGCAAACTATTGAAAGTCATGTAATTTTCCCTTTAACAGAGAATATTTTTTAAATTAATTTTTTTTAAAAAATCTGGCTTCTAAAATGGTGCTCATAATTATTAGTGTTGCGCCAACTATTTGGCAAGTGTGAAATGAGAACTCTCTTATTTCTGCAAGCACAGAAAAAAGCACAATAAATATGCCAATCTTAACAATGTTTGCTTGATAGCAAGTTCTGGTCACACCAGGCTCAGGACATCTTTGTTTATTACCTGCCAGAAACACAAAATTTCCTTTTGCCTAAATTTTGTAGCTTGTTTCTGCATACTTAACTCTTGTTGTTTTGACTGCTTTTAAAATGGGGCTTGTTTTATCGCCGCCATAGCGTGCAGATGTAAAGTGTAGATTATTGATGCATATGAATAGAGAAACAAGCAAGATTACACAGAATATTATAAAACAGGATGTGCTGTTCTGCATTAGAGAATAAGCAAGCATCACTAGAAACAGGGGGAACTGTTTCAACGTATAGATTCTAAAACCGGGGGGTGGGGGAAGCCATGTAAACTGCGGTTGCTTTTGTCAGAGTCACCAATATCACTTGACATCTAAAACACGAGGCAACAATTGCTTTAACAGGATGCCTTTTAAAAACACATCCATACTTCCAGTTAGTAAAGGTTCTTTATGTACTTCACAACAGCTGCCAGTTATGAAAAAGGGTGCCTATAATATAAAGCATTCATTGCCAATTATTATTACAAACTGGCACTCTCAGACTCTCCGCTGCCTTTCTTTCTCCTAGGAGAAGTTTCTTCTTCATTATAAAAGAAAATGCAGGCAGTGGCTTAAAAAATGTATGTTGTGGGGACAGTTGACAGATTGCTGCGCGTGGAACTCGATTTCACAACCCCAGGTATTCACTGGCTCAAAGACAACTGGACGAGCTCAACCTTTTCATGTCCTTGTACCTCCATACCCAGGTGACCATGTTCAAGCAAGCAGAAAGTTGATTTAAACCTCATAATGACATCAGTTTTAAGCCATCAGATCTCTGTGTTAAAAAAAAAAGAAAAGAATGTGTTGTATTCTGACCTGCCTGAATTCTCAAGTTACCTTGTTTCTTCTCCTCTTCCCATAGGGACTCCACACTAATAAGTGAGATGAAGATAGGGGAGGGTAAATCACTATTTATTCTTTTTGCTGCTAGCCAGGCACTGAGTGAAATACCATTTGTTTATGTTTGTCCAATATTTGGTGCTTAGATGGGTACATCTCCCCCCACCTTTAAATATGCTTTTCCCTAATGTTGTCGGAACCAACAGTTACACTATACCGCGAAACCTATCAATCAATGCCACGACTGT